CTACTCTGTCTGTACCTTACGAGTACGAAGACAGCTTGCCAACATCGTCCGTGGGCGCTTCATACTGCTGATATTGCGGGACGCCATGAAAATCCCCCACAGACGCCATCGTTGTCCACCCTCCTCCTCGCGCCTTGCTGGATGCGAACCCTATCACCGGGTCGTTCACTGATTACTCATTACTTGTATGAACGCGAAAGTCGAGATACTCCACCAACCCCTATTCGGGCTCTATCCGCCGGGCCGCCTTCTTCGACAGACTGGAGCCGCCAGCAACGGCCCTTCGGCGAGACTGGCTCAGCTCCCGCAAGGCCCGGCGCGTCTTGTACGGCACGCTGGCTTGAGAAGCCCAACCACCTTGGGGACAGCTTATGTCTGGGCACAAAAGTCTCCAAATCGCTACATTTGACCATGATGATTAGCGCCAATGACAAACACCCCTTTTCCCCTTTGGAAGTTAAACCGAGAAAATACGCATGGAAATAATAAAAGAGGGCACGGCCCAAGACTCGAGGCCACCAACAATCCAAGACGAGCCTGGATGATCCGAATCGAGAGGGGCCAAATTCTGACCGCGGCGGGCTCGGCGGTGCACAAAATGAGAGAGAAAAAATAAACAAAAAGGGGATGGGGCCGACGCGCAGACTTTGAGGGTCTGAGAGCACTCAATCAGAGAGGCCATGTTTGATGAGCCTGTGGGCTGGCGGCGCTCACAAACGGTTTAGCCGCAGCTGTTGGTGCCTCGACAAGCTCGTGCCTCTGAGATCCGTCCAACCGCTGTCAGCACATCAAATGATCTTTTGACGATCCTCCCTTGCCGAGACCTTGACTGCTGTGTCGGAGCCGGCTTCTGCAACGTCTGACCTTGATTGTCTGCGCTGGTCGATGATCTGATGGAACCCATAACCGACTCATGTAGCAGTCTGCTTGCTTGATGGCGCCAGAGACCCGGAATGCCTCTGTTGGGCCCCGGCTTCCGTGGTTCGTGTCTCTCTCCAGTGTATCTAATGGACTGTGATAGTACATACGGATAGGCCACCACGTACTCCGTACAGCGTCCGGCAATATGCATCACTTCGCCGTGACAGTACCCGCTTGTTTCCATCCATCCACGCTGTTCTGAGCCCGATAAGAAGCCGACCGAGTGTCTCTCAAGTTGTCCCATCCTCCGTGCTATCCTCGTGCGTTTTTCTGCTCCGTCACTGTCGATGACTCTCGTCACTACCTGGCGGTCTCGGACGCACTCACCCACTTACGATGAACTACTTGCATACTACTACGATACGCATTTCTCCTCACCACAGAAAGACTAACACCATCGTCTTCTGTCATCAGGTTGGCCTGATATCTTCTTATTTCCAAAGGAAAAAGAACGGTGGACTACCATATTAGCACCAACCAGCATGCTTCCTCTTTGGTTGGTATCTAGCATACACAGTACCAGCTTCCGCAGCGGCAACGCAATCGAAGTCAATTCTCCAACCCGCAGGCTTGGCTCCTCTGATGACTTCTTCGGGAAAACGCAGGCCTTGAAAAGGCTTAGTCCAGAGTTAATGCCAGTGCGTATGTTTCAACAACGGGACGGGCTGCTCAAACACGAGGCTACGAGAAAGACCAACGCCCCTCTGCTCACTATGCGGCCCGTGTATGCCCGTTTGAGGAAATTGGCCCTGCAGCTAATCCCGAGGGCGTGGCCGCCAACTCCGAACGGGGATGGGCACACCGGCATGCAAGCAACACGCCCGAACCCGGCTCGGCTTCGCTCGATTCGGACACCTCGCGACGCCTCATGAACTCTACGAGTCACACAACCCGCCAGCGCCTTTCAAACATGACCTCTTCCCGCACATTGACCAACCATGGTCTTTGCCTGTCTGGTAGGCTTGAAAGCCCACTCGACGCCACTGATTGGCTTCTCAAGAACATGCGTTGGATACGCGCTAATTACACTTGTATCCAACGACAACGACAACCACACCCGCAACCACAGCACACAGGCGTGGCAGGCACAACGCCGGCTGCTCGTAGAAGGACGCCATATCGGCCGCCGGTTACTTGATAACTGTGTTTACCCCATTTCAACGATGGCACAGAAAAGACAATGGCTTGGACAATGGCTTGGTGGAAGACGCCTCCAGCTATGCGCTTCTATCAATCCGTACATCCAAGTTCTTGTCTTCAACTCGCGGCGGGGAATTTTCTGTTTTTCGTCTAGACGGTGCGGGTTTCCATTTCCGAGGCTGAGCTACCCATCGAGTCCCGGTCACCGAGCGCAATGGAGCTCAGACGGACTGTCTATGCTCTAGACTCACGGTCCACGGAATATGGCCTCTGCCATCCCATCATGGTCCCAGAAACCGAGTTTCCTTCAAGCTAAGGCGCGAACAGATGCCCTATTTCAGGAACGCGCAGATTTAGGGCCCGTTGTCTGCAGAGGTTTCATCACCGCGTCGGGACCAGTCGACGCTATCACGACTTGACAACGTGGCGAGGTCAATATCGACGACTCCATCGCGACACACAGCCCACTTGATCGTCTTGGTCTCCGAGATCTGCGGCAAGGGCCATTCCCCGCAGACTCTTCTCAAGGGCGAATACAGAACGCTCATGCCTACGACGCCGCGCTACGGGTTCCGCACAGCTTCCGCGACGTCTCTAGGTTTCGACGGCCTCTGCCATCGCGTTGAGGTTCCTGCCGTGGCAGAGGCCGCCCGTCTTGATTCTTGGGCCGCATTGACGCAACCTTGGTGGTTGACAGACACACGGGCATGAGAGCTTCATTTCCGAAGGAGACGCCTTCTTCCTAAAGCAGGTCGATGAAACGCTGGGAAACTGTCATTCAGCTCCCAAGGAACAGTCCCGCCAAGGCCAAGGGACCAGCTGAGATCGTATGCGAGGAATCGCGCTTTCCTCCGAGACTATCGGGTGTTCAGTACCTTCCACAACTCTATTTACAGCCTTGAAGGGTTGCAATGTGCCGCTTTACCGCGTAACGTTCAACCCTCTATCAACGCGAGGTGATCTAAACTCTAGGCCCATCTCAGCGAACATACGCGAGGCGTCAAGAATCTTTCGTATACGGTGTTGTTATCTTGTTCTCTTTCACTCGCTAAAATTCGCATCTCCTGAATGGGTCGCGATTTACAGGTACTGCAGCCTGGGAAGGGGCCCAAGTTCATGCTGCTCGTGTTGTGGGCCAGAGGGAGTCATGTGCTTTGGGCAGTCCGGAGACTCCAAGATGATCCCCCCTCCCTTCTCCTCAAAAGAGGAACAGCACGACAACGATTGAATGTTATGGAGCCTCAGGGGTAACGATCCCCGAGCTTTGCTGATCTCTTTCCAGGCTCGGGTATTCCCTCACTCGATCAATCGCAGACCACGAAAACTGTAGATGCGGATTGCCCGGTGGCAAAAAGCAAGCATCAAAACAGATCAACAAGTGTTTCTGCCTCTTTTTCCCTCAGGGTTTCTGCCTAGTCTGTAGTCGGAGTGGTCGGGTCTAGTATCTCCTCGCACGAGTGGAACAGGAGCATGGCAACGGCGATCTACTTGTCTACAACCTTACAACGCTCGTTCCCGCCCACAGATCTGACTTGTCGGGCTTGGCTCGAGCCCTTTTGGCAGCTTTGACACCGCGCGGCTCACATGTTGATTTTCAGAATGTGACCCTTTCATCAATTAACGAGTTTCGGTACTGGTAAATGTCGCCACGTAAACCTTGCCTAGCATCACTTGCGAAACATTCCACGATATGTCAAGACTTAGTATCGGGGCATGACGTCAAGAAGCTCCCACAGCCTGGGAGCGTTCCCGTCGGTCCACTCTGAGAGGCGGAGACTCCCCCCTCGAGCTTTCATCGAATTGTTCAGAAGTCGATCTCGCAAGGTTTCGAGGCGGTGACGAGTCGGAGTCCATGGGCCGTGAGCGTGAATCGGGATCTCACGTAGATCATGATGCGTTTTCGCCGAAGGTGAAGTCGCATCACATGTGTGGTTGCCCAAACCCTAATCCAAATCTTTACAGCACAACTGTAGATCGAAATTGAGTACTGTGGTACGAATACCTGTATCACATGACTATCGCTGATCTGGGGTAGATCTCCAGCCTTGGCGACTGCGAGGGTTCGAGTACTCTCTTGAGGTTTTGCGATTTTTTTCTTGGAATTGCACGGTGAAGCATGGATTTGATTTTTGTAACCGATACAGATAGCATTATGAAATGGGTGGTTTTGTCTCTCCTGTACCTTGAAGTTTGCAGAGACAGAGTCGAATTATGGCAAATGAGAGTAGTTGGCTTGCAAATCGGATGATGTTGGAATGAGACAAGTTGGTGAGTTTCTGTGGTCCTTGCGCGCAGCGCGGCTCATCGATGCTCAGGCAATCTCGCTTGTATTGAAGTATTGAATATGCCCAGAGAAGTTCCTGGTCCCACGGAACGATCTGTGGATGAGTCGCGGAGTAAAGTAGAAGAGTATTTCAATATCATCGATGTCGCCATGGGGCTGCTATACTTCATGTCATCCGAGGAGATGGAATAACTCGAATACATACTTGTTCGAAGTTGTCTATCATTTTCGGTTCGGTCTCTCATGCTCGATGGAGATATCTTCTCGTGGCTTGAGTCTATTTGATCCTTGGGCCAAGTCGCAGTCCTGAAAATCGCTCTTGCCCTTGGTTGTCGCTTTTGAGGATTCAATATGTTTATGAGATTGAGAGACTGCACTTAAGACTTTGGATAGTTGACATGATAATTAGGGTGTTCTGATTCGAGGTCATGGTAGACACTTGTTGGTCTGGATGACGACGGGATGACAGCGGCCTCGCGCGTTCGGAGCGTTAATGGTGCTGGGGACTCATAGGGGAGTATGGGCTAAACAGAACCTCAATGTCATAGCATCACTCTTAATTCTCTTCCTGTCTGAAATCTAAATGCCGCAGTCTGCACGTTGCTGCGCATAAGCCGTTTCGTTTAACATCCAACCTAGCTTTCTTCTCCTCAACTTAAGTTTCGCTGCCTCCCATTACTCGCCACTGTTTAAGGGCCAAGTAGTTTTTTTGTAACTCATATTTCTGCTCCCACTCAACTGTGGCTACGCCTTCCAAGGCTTTCTGTTCTATCTGGATCTGCTGCAACGAGACAGGCCGAATGACCCGGCTCGAAAGCCTCAAGTGCTGGATTGCATCCCCGTGAGACTTGATATCAGCTTCATCCAGCTTCTCCTCAGATACCCTGAGTCTCAAAATATCATACTGATGCGTTACAGTGTCCCAGGCGTGGATTACGGATGAGTCCATGGCCAACTTCCACGTGCCTCTCCAAAGATGAACAGCTTCCCGCTTGGGACGGAAAGCTTGATACCTGAGTAGCCCTGCCAACCCCTTTCGCCCGTTCCAAATCTCCAGTGTTTCTAATTGGAGCATATTCTTAGCTGCTGCCGCCGCTGCCAGTAGTAGGGCTTCAATCTCGTTTGAGTCTTCATGAGGCGTGAGTACTTTTGCAGTGAGAGCAAGCGATTTCAGGTTCGGCCACGCCCAGTCGAGACGGATATCGAAGAAGTGGCTGGCGTCTGCGATGTAGGATGCTGCAAGATGTTCGAGGCCGAGGCTGGTGAGCGCGATCATCTGACCGATATCTCGGATAGGCTTGCGAAGGGCGTGTGTTCCGACATCTTCTCCCCCGAGGAATTCGCGTCTTCGCATATTGGCTGGGTACTGTTGGTTGAAGTTCTCGAAGATGACGAGTCGTTTGAGGTTATGGTTGGAACGTCGGATAGAGTGTAAAAGAATTCGATAATCCAAAGCACGGGGAAATTGATAATTATCAATACATGGTCACTGAACTTCGCAAATCAAAGAGAGCAATAACGCCAAGAGTTCACCGGGGAGAGTTGTGCAGTAATAACTCACATTTGTCTGTTAAATTCTGCGTCGGATTATCCCATCCCCTCCACGGTTCGTAGTGGACTTCCTGGACTCTGGGAAGCCGGGAAAACATGTGTGCCAGTGACTCTGGTTTCCACCTCCGGCGGCTCTGTTGTCGGAGAAGTAGACTGGTCACGGCTAGAACTAATGGGAGATTGTCCCACCACTCGAGCTCTTCATCGTCACTGTCGAACGGACCCTACTCCATAATCAGATGGAATAGTTTCCTAAGGCCCCATGGAGGTGAGACGAGGTGTCGATAGCCATGTAACCAGCCATGGTCAGGGTCGTGCTAGTCTCGATTTGCCATCGCCTTCTCGACAGTATAATCATCTAGTATATCCGAAGGAGTATCGGGGGAAAACGACTCAGAACATTGGTTCCCATATCTGACCTTTTCCCCCGATACTCCTTCGGATATATCAGATGATCATACTGATACTGTATATACTAATATCGAGTGTCAAATCGCCGTGAGGTTCCCATTTGCTGAGAATCGAGAAAAAGGTGTTAGAATAACGCGGTGATGGGACATTTATCTGTGCCACTGATCGCAAATGCCTCTTCAAACTCATCTGAAATTGTTCTTCCAGGCGAAAGGGCGCACGTGGTGCAGTCGTACTCGTCGAGTTCCAAGCAGAACCAGATGTAGCAGACGAGAGTTCGGTTTCTTTGGACCATGGCAAGAAAATTGGCAAGGCGTGACGGTGTGAGTCGGATTCGAGCAAAGTTGTGTCGCTCGATGCCTGTTTGCCATTCTTGAGACACCGTGGCCAGGGGAGCTAGTGGGCAATCATCCTGCATCACTTTTTGTAAGATAAGAAGTCGAATTTCTCTGGGCAGGTTATCCCATCTTATATCCAATTGCTTCTTGTCGACTGGTGAAGAAGACATGGTGTGGGAGACCAAGATTTGGGTTATTTCGGCGACGAAGAGATCGATGTGAGAAGATAAATCTTCCTGCATGGGCGTATACGACTATCGTGGAATGAAAGGCCAGATATGTGGAATATCCGTAAACATGTCAGGTTTGTTCTGATAGTGCTTGTGTAGTTGGAATAGGTAAGAGACTTTCGATCTGGACGCTGCATGCGGGGTGGCCATGTAAGGTGAGCCATTGAGCTATCAATCCGATTTGACTTTTCTCATCTCGAGACCATGAAGGTTGGTCTTCTAGCACACTCTGGGTGGCCGAGGCTGCCGCTGTACCGGCCTGGCTCGCGGTCGTTCCAGATCCCAGTTTCATTCATGGCCAAACCTCTTCACAGGGCCTCCCGTAATGATGTTCTTGAGTTCCCGCACTTTGCGGATGCTCTTTCCACTTACCATACATAGCGTCGGCGAAAAGCTCGAGGTTGAACATGATGTCGCAGACAAGATGGCTAAATACAGTGCGTGCTTGTATTGCCAATTATCGTCTGCTTGTGTTTGTATTTGTGCCAAGAGCCTAGAGTATTCGGCGAAGCATACATCAAGGAGATCGGACCAAGAATGACAACGGCAGAAGGGGAAGCAGTAGTGGCAATAGAGACATTAGTTATAGTCATCCTAGTATTAGCAAAATGTTCCGAGACCTTTTCATACTTTTCTCTAAGCAAGATAAGGTACTCATGGTCTCCTTTGATTATACGCTCAGGGGAAAAAAAAAAAGTCGATTAATTTTCTAAGCAAGGGTTCCCGATTCCCCAAATTTCACATCGCATCACCACCTCCACGACGAGGCCACGACGATACATTTACCCAAAAGGAATTCAAAACATACAACACCAGGTATTCGCTGGTCGTCACCGACCCAACTACTAATCCGGCCCTCATTGGCTTATCTATGGGAGAGCGGACGGGATCCAGAGTTTTCCAATGGGTATGGTCGTATGTGACAGATTCAGGTTGTGAGACTGCTGATATTCGAAGAGCGCAACGGATGCCATCGATGGTGATGGTGATCACGGCTGGCCCTCCCTGCTATCCTCGTCGAGAGCCTCGAGAAACAGCGACGGTTTCTAGAGATTTGAAATTTGTGGGTTCCAGGATCCACAACCGGCCCAAGCCTTCGGCGTCGATGGCTGAGCTCACCTTCTCCGAACTTCTTCCAGGTGAAAGACTCATGGGAACCGGAGAGCACCATCATCGTCGAGGTCATTGAAGTCCACATTCTCGAGGCCAACAAACGAGTCTTCGTTGCCTAGAAAACTCATATCAAGCCAATCCATTGGGTTTAGAGAGGTGACGTCAATAGCCCGTGACCAGTCGGTCATGAAACTGTCTGGAGTCTGGTAAGAAGTGTGATTTTGCCTTCTCTGCGTGTCGTTGCTGGTCTCTCCATCTAGCTCGGAAACCAGTATTCGAGAGAAACCGGAGTAGAGAATGGCTATAGATGTAGCTGGAAGCGCATGCGCTTTCTCTTCAAGCCATGTAGAGATGGCCCGGATCTGGGATGCCGCAGCTCCGTGATCTACAGAAGATAGACTTCCTCGACTCAAAGCCTAGAGGTATAAGTCGGTGCTACAAGGATAGTGTACAATGGTATTATACCACTTACTTGGGCAATCTCAGTCATGGCGTGGGCAACCATTACAAACTGGTTGTTGTGCCACCCCAATCCAATGTCGATGACCGTCTGATCATGTAAAACCAGATCTAGAAGTTGATGTGCGGTTTCAAACGCCTTGCTATCGACCGAGGCAATAGTCGAGGCTATTGCCCCCCCGAGTCTCTTTAACTCCCTTGCAGCCTGCGCGTTGAGAATCATGAGACTGTGTTTCATGTAGAAAGCTAGGATAGGCAACGTCGGTGTGGACGACCCGTCATTTTCGTAGCACCTGATTTTGCACGTTCGATCAAGAATATCATAGTTCTTTGCATGCCAATTCGAGATAGACGCAGTGGTCTTCTTCATACGCTCCAACTGCTTTAAGGACTCCAGCTGTTCGACTCAACTATCAGCCTTGTGACATGGTGTGTTGACACAGACACTGGATGAAAGAGAGAGATAGGAGAGATAGCAATAGCAAGAGATATCTCTACTCACCAACTGAACCCTAATCTCAATGATACCACTAATCATACGATCAAGAGATGTTGTCATCGACTTTCGCCACCACTGACATGGACAAGGCGGGAGCTCTTTCCAAGCCACAATCGGGGAGCGGCCCATGACGATACCGAAGCTCTTGTCAGCTATGAACACGTATAGCCAGGTTCTTTCAAGATTGCGTGAGAATCGCTCTCTCATCTCAACAGTGTCGTCGGGGGCCAAAGCTTTGACAAGCTCAACAATAGTGGAGGGCTTGTTGATTCCGAGTTCTTTGGCAAGTTGTACAGCCTGCGGAATAAGAGTGATGAAGTCAGCACATGATGGTCTCCTTGGGATTCGTTCTTTGTGATCTCACATGACTAATATGAAGCCAATGGGGATCATCCCCCTGTCTCTGGTACGTTGGTGCCCAATGCTTCATTGCTAGGATTGCTTGAATCGTCTCTAGTGATCTCACTGGCACCGCGATAGACCACGCGAGATTCGCTTCTGCCAGGGAGAGTAGAGTTGGGTACAGGATTCTATCCCGTGGACGTGTCGAAATAGCACATCCCAGAGCGCAAATGACGGAAAAGAGGGTAAAGGATGCGTGACGGACGTATTTGGGGGTATGTAGATCTGGGTCTAGAAGCCCTATATGCGGATTGCGCGTCTGGAAGAACCTAGAAGTGAGGCTTCTCGGTAAGTATATCATCAAGACGGGTTCTGTAATACGCACAGGTGAAAGTACAATGAGACATCGTTTTGATCCGCCAGGCGCGCAGTTACAGGGTCGCAAGCGGTGGTCTCCAACTTCAGTGTGCTGTTGATCGACTGAGAAGCCAGGACTTGCCAATCCGTATCATGCGTCAGACGAGGTGCTAGGCAATAATGAGTCAGTATACGACAGACTGTAAGAACAAACGTTCGAGCCGATGTCGGCTTACTGAAGTACTCTATCAGCCGTTTGTTTATCGAGCTCTCGTTGCCTCGTCGCCCAACTGCGTCGAGTGGCAGATGTGGCACGGCTGTTTCGACATTCTGGTTTGCAAAACTTGTATCTTTCTTCGTAAAAGCAGCTGCCATGATATGAAGGGGAGACACAACGAAAATCTCCCTTTTCAGCTTTGAACACGGACACGGGGAACGAGTCAAGTCCGGCGGCCCATCACATTCTGACTCTTCACTTTGCTCGATAAGAGCAGGAACAGCATTTTCTTCTGTCCCTGGCGCATCCAAATGAGCTGGCACATTGTCTCTTAAACTTGAGAAAGAGTCTAGGGCTGACGATTCAGGATGTGTCTGAGCTCGAGATGAGTTGATTATAGCTGCGATCACTTGGTCCCGAACAGGACTCTCGTTGATGCGGTCCAACAGCTTTTGAACGGTGTCTGGCTTGCTGTTTCTCCGTCAGCCTCTTCATGAGACCATTGAATGGCTACCTAGCAGTCTCACTCACTTTGTACTTCCTTCCTTCCTACCTCGATTGGATTTGAGCGGGTAGCGGCAAGTGTTCCCCTGAATGGCGCATCGTGAGCTGCAAGCGACGTTAGTCTTGGATCACTTCGCTCATGGGCTTGGGTGTGTAGAGAGAGCTCACCAAGGAGTATGCCGGTCGCACTTCTGTCTAGCTGCGCGGCACGTAAAGCAAGCAGTGCGGTGCTGGCTAGTGCCATCTGCAACTGGCGCGTTGCTGTTCCTGTGTTGATTTGCACGCGTCCCTTTGTGTGAACGATCCCTGAGTTCATCTCGATGATCTTGTCCA